GCTCAGTTTGGTGTTATGGTAGCCGTCATAGGGTGTTGGGTCGCGAGTTTTTCTTTTCTCCTCATCCCAGTTTTTGAGAAGTGATATCCCATCGTTTTCCGCACCATTCCATCAAACAAACATGAGTTTCAAAGAATCTAACCCAAATATTCCATATTTCTCATCCGCATCACAACAACCAAACAGACTGTAATGGAATTGTTGGATTTAAAAAGGGCAACATGCACACCTCCCATTGGAGGGTGCATGCTCCCTGTGAACCAATGAATTCACTGCATTCGAGCTTAGTATTCACCATGTGTCCTTATCCACCTAAGACATGTGATGCCTGCCAACGTTGGCCTATAGGTCAAATGGGGGGCACACCACATTGATATGGTGTCACTCATCCAACGTGGGGGTACATATTGGTCCTCGGATCAACCAAATACACTCTTTGGATTGGTCCATGTGGTGGTTAACTTGGGTCCAAGTTTCACCCTCATCACTTTTCTTGTCCTTTTCTTGCTGATTATAATTTTGTCAACTATATTTTGAGCATTTTATTAATGAAAATTTCCTTTCAAGGCTTGAAAAAAACATTTTTTTTTTGTTATGAATATAGTTGGATGGTGTACATTTCTTGCACAAATGGGTTTGTTTGGGGATCAATCGTGTTGCCAAGTAGGAGATTCTCGGATTTTTTTCCTCGGACCTCTTTCCTAGGTGTGAGTTCGGATTAGTTGAATTTATGGATTGTTCGTTTCCTCTCAACTTTTATCTCTTAAAAGGAATCTTTTAACTTTAAGAGAAAAATGGTTGTTTGTTTCATCTTATCTCTTATCTCTTAAAGTGCAATCATACAACTTTTTGTTTTCCAATGATACTCCCTAAAAGACAAATAAAATCTCTCATATATGGGGTCAAAATGGATATTTGATCATTTTTAGAATTCAAAATTCAAAACAACACTCTCTGCATTCAAAGTTCAGAGGAAATAAAAGTTCACCAATACCAATATACCTCTTAATGTAATTATTGCACTTCTAGATGTCAAACTTCAGAGCAAATGAACAGGCTCTTAAAAGATGTACTAGCGGAGATCGACTTCTATCAGGGTAAACCTATGCCCACACCATTCTAACAGCCTTTTGCAACCTTGCATTGGGAATATCTCCCCATAAAATAAAGCACACAAGTATGAAAGTATTCTCAATGCAAGACAATAAAAGTTGCTCAAACGGGCTTTGCCCTGACTGAAGCCAAACTCGTGTTAGCTGCTGTTCAACCGTGCTCCACAATCACTTTTATGTCTCACTTTGCATGAATGGTCGGTGTGCGCCTTATTATTGGTCAAACTGCCCCTAACACAGCCATCAAGTGCAAACTCCGAATTGTCTAGATGACCCAATTATGAACTTATGTCTTCGGGTATTTACACCATTGTTGCCAATTGGCTCAAACTAGCTAGAAAAACTTAAATGTTCATTGGGTCATGGTTTTACTAATTAATTGGCGGGTTTAACTCATTCAAAGCTGAATACCATGAGAAAACTTTAACTGTCCACGATTAACAATTTGGACACCCAATAGGGCTCTTCTTGCGTTACACATTGGTTACTCTTTATAGTTCATACCAAGTCTGTAAACTATTTTTTTTTTCTTGATGCCAAAAGGCAACTCTTCATTGATAATACTTAGGTTACAAGAAAACAAACACAGAACAAAGAATCCAAGGCTCAAATCTATAAAATCAACTAAAACAAACCAATTCCCACTAGACACCACCACAAAGAAATAATACCTTAGAACAACTGAGCATCAGGAGTGTCGTCAAACAAGGCCTCTACAATTGACATCAACTAAGAAATCACCAGCAAAAGAAGGGCATAATCCTTCAACAGATACCACAAAGCCGCCATCAGAGACTCCCGAAACAGTAAAATACAGCCAAAACCTGAAACACCTATCGACAACCATAAGGAGAAAAAAATAAACTAAATCTTAAACACACCAAAGGCCCTTGGGCCCACATCCACATTCACTACAGAGGAATGGCCGATATTAGAGGCTGACCCAGCCCTATCACCAACACAGTTACGAGAATATGAAATTTGGTACGAGCTTTGCCACTTGATATTCAAATTGTTTGTCATCACTTGGATCAAAATATGAGCTTTTTTGTGGTCCCAATATCAAACAAGATGCATGTCCACTTGTGATTGCCTTTATTAATGGAAACCATATCAACTGAAAGATCGTATTGACCAGTTTCCAAATCTTTTATACTTACTGATGACTCCATAAACTTAAGGAGCAACAAATCAGCAACGTGATTAGCGCAGTCACCTTCCTTATTGGCATTAGAGTTTCCTTTTCACACTTTCCACAACCACCGGAATTTTAGTTACCAACTCCGGTGGGAGTGGGGCTTGCAAATAGGGGTGGATTCGAGTCAAGCCAATCCAAATAGCAAGATATTCGAGTTCAGCTCGCCAAGACAGGAGGTTCGAGTTCGAGCTCAAGCTCGGTTCAAGTTAGAAACTTGAGCTTGAACTCGAATGTGAATTAAATGCTTTATAAAAGTAAAAAATTATATATAAAAATTTATTTTTATTTGATATTTAAAAACAAACAATTATAATAATTAGTTATTATTATTATATATAAAAATAAAAATATTATGTAATATTTTTATTGTACATTATATATAATATAAAAATATTATGTATTGTATATATGTATACATATATATAAAAGCTTGCAAAGCCCAACCGAATCCCTTGAGTTTCCAAGCCCAACCAAATCCCTTGAGGTGCTTGTATCTAACTAACTGAAACAAACTAGGATAATCCTAATCCTATCTCAGGATAAGAATTATCCTAGATAAACCTCAACTAACCTTGTTAGTCCCTATCTCTTGGGTGCTTATCTTTGTACATTCTTGATGAGGGCAAATTCGGCCCTCCACTAACATCATGACACATGGTATCTTGGAACAACTAGGTGACACCCAGAACCACCTAGGTGACAACTTGCTTTAGCCAAAATGATGGAGTCCCAGCTAGCGATCTGGCATTGCCGTCGACCTGGCAACCTGCCTCTAGTGCCGATCTGGTGACTTGCCTCTAGCGCCGACTTGGCGACCT